ACCTGAATGAAAAGGGTCTATTTTACAATCCGTCAACAACAGCACTCTGTTGGCTCCGAGGATAGCAAAATATTGTTTTGCTGTAACGTTAGCGTTTTTCATGCAGACTTCTGTAACCGTATAAATGGTATGTCTGAAACGTTAAAATATTAATCTGAGATTCCCATGTTATTGCTTGAACAGGTCTACACTCCCTCGTCACGAGACAGAGTCGAAGAGTGTTCAGGAGGTCTATCCATTGGTCAAGATCGGCTTTCGAGCGCAAAATAATCATTTCACAGTTTCAAATCTACTGCTTTTCAAGAATGTCCCCTGCAGCAGGCTGCCCATAGGAATTGACGAAATAAAGTAAATACGTTCAATTATTCTCCTACCAAAGACGGCCTGAAAATGGTAAGGGAGCTCACTCCCGTTGGTTGAGGATGTGACGCTGGCCGCCACTCATCAGTGACATCTTTCCGCCACCAAAATTTCTACTCCATTTTCAGGTACTCCAATTTTTTTAATCCGTTAGACTGAATGAAAAGTTCAGAGAAAAGTTTAAAGCAATTGTTTAAAGGGTCAGCATTCCGAATGAACTGTCGCACAATTACTCGCCAAAAGACGCTTAAAGACAAATGGGATTTTGGAAACAAGGTGCTGGCTGTTTTGTCAGCCTGAACATCACCTACGACTCGATAAACCACAGGACACGAAGCGATTGGTATTGGTATTGGTAATATTGGTATTGATCATGGTATTACCATCAAGATCTTGGCGGCCAGTCAGAATATGAGAAGACATCGAAACGAGAAAAGAACGTCAAGCCAAGAGTTACTGGGATGTGCCAGATCTGCAGATCCATCCAATGTGCCGCGCAGTGGAACAACATTGACCATATGTTCCCCGTGAAGGCCTTCAAGCACCGAGCTCAGACCTGGGCGCTGGATTTATAATTAAAAAGAAGATGGTCCCATCTGTGGTGAGCTATGTATTATGAAATTTTCAATTATTACCAGATTTTGAGAGAACCATCGACTTATCGTAGAATCGATTCAACTGGTTTCGAAAGTCGATGTTGCGCACACAGCTCCTGCCGGTCCAAGTCACATACAATATTCCATTGTAATATCGACTGACCTAAAGCTGCGAATAAATCATGAGGCAGTTATTGCGATGGGAATAAAATCAAAAGCGTTTTTTTTATTTTAAGACCATTACGAATCACTTTCAATGTACGATTCGTTTAAAGCGTTAGAACAAAAGAACAGCAGCGCAGTAAAAGCTTTTTTTATAACCGTTAGATTTAAAATGGGTATATCAAGTATGCAAAATCACTCATTTCTATGCTTATGCATGTGAATTTTCTGATCTCATGAAATTGATGTCGATTAAATAACAAAAGAATAACTGGAACTATATAGTAAGCTGCTTCTTCATTTACTAAGCTAGATACTAATGAAAAATTTTATTCAAATTTTTTATGAGGGTGAACATTTCTGCCACAATACTCTTCAAAGGGAGTACTTCGCAGTCTTATCTTAGCGTAATTTGTGCGACGTTTCGGATCGTTCTTGATCAATCCCCAGATACCGCAAGTGACTAACAGTTATGATATCAATTTAACCAATATGCTAATGAACTGCATTCCCTGGAGATCGATCCAATGTAATTCATAACGCCAGCATAATTACTGAACCATATAGTAAACCATTCGAAGCTTTATTGACCTGAAGCCTATCAGAAAAATGAACAAAGTTGTACACAGCATCACTGAGGCCGAGATTCAAGCATACGAAAAGCACTCTCTCTAAAACAGCACTATCAGCAGCCGAACAATGAACCTGTCCATCGTGTTCGCACTACTAAGCATCAAAGAGTGCAACTGCAACGATCAGTTAAAATGGACTGACCACGGTTCACCTCAGATCACACTGTCAGGGTTGCAGAACCGACGCAAGAACTCTCACGCTTCACTTAGGCTTCATCGTAGGGACTCGCAATTCCACTTCCAAGCAGATGGTTCGATTGCTTGCTTTTTGACTGACTACCGGTTCCATTCCTGCGGACCTCTCAAGAACGAGTATGGCGTCCTTCGCCGGACAATTTAACCGGTCACTCGCGTAGGCACACTTGACCGAGCAGAGATCAATGGCCGAACAGTTCCTGTAGAGGCCATACGGATAAGGGGAACGTCATTGGGCGATGGTGACGTCCGCTATCCATTGTACAAACCGTTTCTGAGGGAGCTTTCAGTGCATCCTGGAACCAGAAACTCAGTCAGTGCCATCCGCACAAATGCAGAATTTTACCTCAGATCGTTTTGCACTTCACCTGCATGATTTTGAGAGCGATGACGACTAGTTCTTTCTTATACGGTTTGTTCTACGTTTAAACTCACTGACATGAAATACCATTTTATGAGGAAAACAATTATGTTGCCGAAGCGAATAAATTCAATCTTATCCTATCTGAAGACTGTTCAGATTAATAATATAC